AGATGCAAGTACCTAACTATACAATCTTATACCTGTCTCCTCAGAAATAAGCCCAATTGGATTCAGTGGGACTTACTCCCATGTCAGTTTGTATAGGATTGTAACTTGCAGCGGAGCAAAATTCATTTATTGCCTGCAGCCAAGAGTAGATTCTAAAAATATAAGAGTTTGGAATAGGGATGGGAATCACTCATAGGAATGGAAAAACCCCTAAGCTTCCTAATCACTTGTACTCTTTTGAACTAAGAAGAAGCAACAGGAGAAACAATGAGGTCACCTTCTAAATATAGAATGAGATTAAGGGAGGGAGAGAAATTTGATTCAGTTCACATTTAAAGGCAAACCTACAAAAATCATACTTTTCAAAAACAATGCAGGAATCGATGCCCAGGCATCCTTTGAAATTCCAGCTTCTATGAATTATGCCCTGCAATTCTCTAGCCAAGTAATGTGCCCCACAATGCATATACCAAGGTGAAGCTTTCATAAACGTGCATATATTACAGAAAATAACTTACACGAAAATCCTTCAAAAGTGTCAAAACTACATACAAAAATATGTTTACGGGGGGGGGGGGAATGATGCAAAAAGGCAGATGAAATGTGGAGCACAGAATTTCAGTTCGGGGAAAATGAAAAACTTGGAGAACTTAAATTTGTCCACCTCCAAATGAGACGTGTACTGAGTGGCATGTGAACATGCTTATTTATGCAGAGTTGTGTCACTGGTCTTTCTAGTCCAGTTTTGGTTGTTATATCCGGGAGATGTTTCTAACCTACTTTACAGGGTTGTTGTGAGGGTAACATGGAGAGGACCTTGAGTTCCTTGAGGCAAAGGTGAATGTAATAATAATAAACAATGTAATGTTGATTAAACTACAAATAAATGTTCACCTTTTTTAAGTTAACCAGACTTCATGTAAAATGTGTAGAGGAGTGTTTGTGGTGGCGAGGGAGCATCTTCCTCAACTTGTATCATTAATTAATAGCTTTAAAAAAACTGAGTCACGCACATACACACCATAGTAAAGCCAGAGTTCTCAATAGCCTTTGATGGTCCAGTGTGTTAGAATGCAGAGGGGCAACTTGTTGTTGAAATGGAATACTCAGGATGAAATGGTGAAATCTGCTATGATTAAATGGGCACAAGATGTTGGACATAACATAATGATGGCTGACTGGGAACAGTTATGGACCACAGGTATGAAGTTTACGGCATGTAATGCCTTAAGAGAGAATATTATGAAAATGATATACAGGTGGTACATGACCCCAGTCAAGCTTGCAAAAAATTATCATTTGCCTGATAACAAATGCTGGAAATGTAAAGAAACTGAAGGTACATTCTTTCACCTTTGGTGGACGTGCCCAAGGATTAAGGCTTTCTGGGAGATGATATATAATGAATTGAAAAAGGTATTTAAATATACCTTCTTGAAGAAACCAGAGGCCTTTCTCCTAGGCATAGTCGGCCAATTGGTGCCAAAGAAGGACAGAACTTTTTTTATGTATGCCACAACAGCAGTAAGAATACTCATTGCAAAGTATTGGAAGACACAAGATTTACCCACTCTGGAAGAATGGCAGATGAAGCTGATGGACTATATGGAACTGGCAGAAATGACTGGCAGAATCCGAGACCAGGGAGAAGAGTCGGTGGAAGAAGATTGGAAGAAATTCAAAGACTATCTACAGAAATATTGTAAAATTAATGAATGTTAGAATGATGTTGGATAGAAATTAAGTGGTTTCCAGCTGTAATGCTTTAAGGGAATATGAAAAATGGGTTGTTAATAGGTAAAAATCTAACGTTACTATTTTAAGACCAAAGATTAGGATAAATAAAGAGGGTAAGGATTTGCTGAACCAACAAATTGAACTGAAATACAAAAAAGGGAGGTATGAGGAGGTCCGGGAAACAAGCTAAGGAAAAATAAGTAATGGAAAAATTGAGTGGTTTTTAATCATTTTTATTTTGTATTTTCTTTTTCTTTTTCATTTTTATATTGTAATTTTGTATCTTCTTTTTCTTTTTCATTTTTATATTGTAATTTTCTGAAAATCTTAATAAATATCTTATAAAAAAAAAGAATGCAGAGGGGGAGGGTGTTTTCCTTTCAACTACGACACAGCTCTGTATCTGCTGAAATCAGCAGCCTTGGAATAGTGGGATGTCTTGCTGGGGAATTGTGGCTACTTACTGTGGGAGCAGGTGGCGCTGTGGTCTAAACGAGAGCAATGGGGTGAGCTCTCATTGCTCTGTGCGAGCCTCTGCCAACCTAGCAGTTCAAAAGCACGCCAGTGCAAGTAGATAAATAGGTACCACTGCGGTAGGAAGGTGAACGGCATTTCCATGTGCTCTGGCTTCCGTCACAGTGTTCCGTTGCTAGCCACATGACCCGGAAAGCTGTCTGTGGACAAACGCTGGCTCCCTCGGCCTAAAAGCGAGATGAGCACCGCAACCCCATAGTCGCCTTTGTTATGTACTGAAGTTCTCACCCTGGGCCAGCAGGGGGATACTGTAGATAGTTATGCAAATGAAGGGTCGAAAAGTGACGTTCAGTGATTGGATAGTTTGTATGCAAATGAAGGATCGAAAAGTGACGTTCAGTGATTGGATAGTTTTAGAAAATGGCAACAGTTACATTGTTCTGGAGCTCTATATAAGCAGGCTGACTGAGCCCCTCAGCTTAGTTCTGTTCTGACATCTGAATAAAGAAGAGCTGTTTGAAGAATCGCTGTGTCGTCTGCTATGTTCGCCCACAACTTAACAGCCTTTGACTGGACTTAACCATCCAGGGGTCCTTTACCTTTTAACCTTTTACCTGCTGCTACTTGGAAAAACACACACACAAAACTACCTTCTCATGCATATGTTCCTGGGAGATGTAAAACCATAACATTGCTTCTGCGTAATCCACAACAAAAGCACATGCAAGCAACATTCCACAGATTCCTGTACAGTAGACTAATCCACTTAATCTCACTGTTAGTGCCTCTCACAGGAATTTCACAGGCATTTTTTATTTGATGGTTTGTAACATTTCTGATTAGTGTCTCTATGTTGTTGTTTTTTGTTATTGTCATTGTTTTCAGTCTCACCAAACTGGTGTTGTTCTTATGCATGTTTAAACACTAGCATCTTTAAATTATCTATATTTTTCTAGTCCTTCCAATAGATTCTCTAGCCATACTGCTGTATTTCTGCTCTCAGAGTTAATAAGCGTTTGTTTTTTTAAAAAAGATTATTATTTTTAAAGGAGCTGTCAGATCCCTTGAAGAAAAGAAAAGAACCCTGATCAAAATATTTGGAGGTAATTTTCTTTTTTCTTTTGTATTAGCAAATGATAAATATGAGACAGAAATTATGTGGGTAATGGGACAATTGACTTTAAAAGATAAATTAAAGTGACATGTAAATTGCTCAAAGAGCACTGCAGTGCAAATGGTATATATGACAATAAATGGACCCCTGAACAGATTTACAAGGCAATCCTATACACAAGAAGTTCAACTGAGCCAGATTAAAATATGCCAGGATTCAGTCTAAATCATCCTCCCACATAGCGCTTCACCACAGACAGTTTTCCAGGTCATGTGACTAGCATGACTAAACCGCTACAGATGCACAGAGGACCATGACGAGTGCCAGAGTGCACGGAAATGCCGTTTACCTTCCTACCACAGTGGTACCTATTTATCTACTTGCACTGGTGTGCTTTTGAACTGCTAGGTTGGCAGAAGCTGGAACAGAGCAACGGGAGTTCACCCCGTCACTCAGATTCGAACTACTGACCTTCCAATCGGCAAGCCCAAGAGGCTCAGTGGTTTAGACAACAGTGCCACCCGCGTCCCTAAAGCTCCCAGAGCAGCACACAGAGTAGGGAGGGATAGGTGGGTGTTACAAGCTGATATGCGTGCACAGATTGAGTCTTCGTAATAGCACAACATTGAATTCCATCCCATATGAGAAATAAAAGAAGCAATGAAAATACAATTAAAAATCAATATAAATATTTAATGCAATGGACGTGCCCTCTCCCATCTTCAGCCACAAATTCAGAGGCATGTTGCAGATCACCTGATTTTAGCTTGCAGACCACAGATGGTCCGTGGATCACAGTTTGAGATCCTTCAGTGAGCAGGAGAGATAAATAGACGAGGCTGGCTCAAAAGGAATACATCTTCTGATCCAGACAAAATTAATGGTTGCTGTTGATGCCAAGGTGGAGACTTGGAAACTTTTATACATTTTTTAAAAAGCCTGTCAAAACTGAGGCTGATGTAGGGAGGTATTTTAACTGTAGCAACTCCCAAGAACCTAGTATCTAAATTAAGCTCAATTTATCCAAGGATCCCAGGACTGTATCATGAACAGACACAGAACATTAAAAAATACACCTGAATGGCTTTAAATAAACCCAGAATGAAACAGATAAGCACAGTGGTACCTCGGGTTAAGAACTTAATTCGTTCTGGAGGTCCGTTCTTAACCTGAAATTGTTCTTAACCCGAGGTACCACTTTACCTAATGGGGCCTCCCATTGCCGCTGCTGCTGCTGCTGCGCAATTTCTGTTCTCAACCCAAGGTACTATTTCTGGGTTAGCAGAGTCTGTAACCTGAAGCGTCTGTAAACCGAGGTAGCACTGTAGTGGCTGCTATTGGTATCTGTAATAGAGATAGCCAGGAGAGAAAGGAGAGAAAGACTTCAGTGAGCAAGAAAGGGATGTAGAAAATATAAGTTGTGATGTGAGGACACAATCCATCCTAAATTAAGTGCTTTTAAATACCATTGTTTTCAATGAAAATATAAGCATGCATTTAACTTTCCCCCACTGAAATCAGTGAGACTTTAAAGCTGCAGTCCTGACTCCTGTGGAAGCTCACTCAAGACTGAGTCCCATATAACTCAGTGGGATCAGGTAACATGATGGATGGATTGCAGTGCTATTTTTATAGAAAAAGAGGTGCCAGAACTCACCATGAACACCTCCCTCGTTCTCTTATTATGGCAACGGCGCCCACCTAAGAAGTACCAGAGCTGAGTTCTGGTGAGTTCCAGCTGAAAAAAGCCCTGATGGATTGTATCCTGAATATCTTTGTCTTTCTAGAAATCCTAGAGAATTTATCTGTCAGCAATGTGACCTCTCAGTCCTCTCTACTCTGGATTTTACTCTCCATATTTCACAGAATGCAATGAAGCTGAATGATTCAGGGCAGATAAGGTAAGGTACTTCTTCATGCTGCACAGACTTATATTATGGAACTTGCTTTCACAGGAGGCAGTAATGGCCATGAACTCTGATGGCTTTGAAAGAGGAATGGACTAATTCATGGAGGAGAAGGCTATCAATGACTACAATCTCCAATGGCATCTGGGCAACTGTTGTGAGAACAGGTCACTGTGAGATGGCCCACTGGCCTGATCCAGCAGGCTCTTCTTAAGCTATGTTCTTAAGCATAGTAACTCTCAACAGAAAACATGGTTTTCTAGTTTGCTTGTTGTTAACAATAGGAACCCGCTAGGGTTTCTAACTGACCAGCAAAAAATCTAGCCTGGTCTGTTCTAGTTGCTGTATAACTGTAGCTTGTTCTACAAAAATCAGCAGGCAAAAGTTGCATGGTGCAATGATAGCAGGGGGGCAGTAAAATAGTTGGCAACTTTAAAAACAACCATGGAAAGCTTGGATTTCATTTGGGAATGAGCAGAGATTATCCCAAGTTCCAAGTTCAATACCCACAAACTCTTCTTTTTCAAGGCAAACAGATTTACCTAGATAATTCATCAGGCAAAACATGCAGCCAATGGACATCCCTATAATTATACTATCATTTATCAAAGATTTTCCCCTTCATGTTCAGCCCTCAATTATAGTTCATTCTTCATTTCTGAGGCAGACACCACTAACAGCTAAGCATGTTAAAACTCAAAACAGAATCATCCATCACTTTTGTTCTTAAGCCATTCAACGTGTATTTGACAAGATGATCATGAGTGATGTTGGTGTTTTCTTTCCTGAAGCTGATAAGAGATTGGCAACAACTTCGCAGAGCACACTGGCCAATGAACCAGGCTGTCAGATGATGAGATAAGCTAAGATGCTGCATCTTACAGAGCTCATGCATGTATACAGTGACAGCCAATGTTACCAGTTGCAAGGGAACAAATAGCTCTGGTGGAACATAGGTATTGTTCATTCAAACCTGACCAGCCAATTTTGAACAGTTCAAACAGTTTGCCACCATCTACTCTGATCCATTTTTCTATATGATACCTGTAAGTTTGCTTTTGCCTGGATTGCTTTTTAAATCTGAAGTCTTACTAAGCATTTATGTCTTTCAAAAGGCTATGACATGCAAGATAAGATTTGCAAGGCCTAATATACATTCATGTTCTTTGCAGGAAAATCAGTTAATTCAAATAAAGTTTTAGTGCTCTGGTGCTTCCTATCAAAATGACAACTTCCATTCCGCTCTGCTCTACAGCTTCAAACCCTTTTGTGGTTGCTAATACCCAGTAATGATGAGGCCTCTATTAAATGGAAGAGTTGGAATCTGTCTGGAACTGAGGTGAGTCCATTTGGGCCTTGTAAAATGGTTGTGGAATGAAATCTTTCTCTAGACACCATGAGTGTTGAATGACTTTTCACAGTATTTGCAACCGGTTCTGCCAGGAATGCTTGGTCCTCACAAAGTATTGGTCAAACTCCTCACACCTCTCCATTTCCATTATTCTGCTCCCTCTCTCCAGCCGGCATGAAGAGAGCAGATGAGTTCCCTGTCCCTGGTCCTAATGCTGCCCCTTCCTCTGAAAAGCCACTCCTGAAAATCAAAGGAGGGGAACTGTCCAGAACCAGGCTATGCAGGCAACTCACCCGCTTGTACCACAAAAAAATAGTTTTCTTCTCAATCCAGAATCATTCGTGCTCAGCCTCAACATGCTGCTTTCAATCTAGAGCTCTGAAAATGACTTGCAAGAAGTAAACCTATGACGTAAGATGGAACTATATCGATCTCCCATTGAAAATGGCAGCCTGTGGCTGAAGTGGCTGTGCACCAAGCCTAATTGAACTTGAATTGGGGTAGGTGTGAATCAGTCTTTCAGCATGTCATGGCTTTTTTCCTGGCCCAAGGACCCCACCCTGCTGTGTGGACTAAAAGCAGACAACTAATGGCACCAGTTGCTTTAGTTCCTGTGCAAAGCAGCATCACTGTCTATGTATGCAAAGCCGACCACATGGGGACTGTGGAGCAGAAAAGGCAGCTCACTGTGGGAAGACTATAAATTCTGTAATAACAGGGCCTTCCTCCTGGGCTTGGCCATCTATCATGTAAATATTTTAGAGTCTGAGTTCATCTCCTGGCTAGAGAGATTTTCTGGCTGCTGTCCCAAACTGACGCAATGCTCTCCATGACTGGGACATTTATTACATGTGCTGCATTAGGCACTCAGTGCATGTAGCAGTAATCAGACCTGGAAGGGGAGGGGGGAAAGTTTAGGAATATATGTATTTTGATGCTGTTCTGCTCTGTACAACCTATGACATCATCTGAAGAAGGCCACACTCCGTATATCGTTCTCCTCTCCCTTCCCTTGCTCTTCCTCCTTCCTCCCCCTTTCCCTTCCCTCTCAACTGTTATAAGAAAAAACTGCTCCTTTCCCCCTTATGCTAGCAGTTTGTCAAACTGTCTTGCCTTTATCTCATCTTACACACACTTTGCAAATAAGCACGGGGTGATTGATGTGCTGCTAACTTCTTTTTTAAAAAGAAGAAGTTGGGCTAAATAAAGCAGCCCTCCCCAAAACCAGTGCTTTGTGGAAATGTAAGGGGAAACCCATCCATCGCTCTGTGCAGTGTCTTAAAAAGTCTTATCTCAGCAAAGAGAGCACAGGGCAGGAGGGGGGAAGGGGGAGAGAAGAGCCTTTTCCAGATAAACAAAAAAGACCTCCAAAGTTCCCTTCTCTCGCACCACTACCACCTCTTTAACCTGACTGGGCGCCCCTAAAGGAATTCACAAAAGCATCTGTGACCCCCTCGGCCCTTTGTAAAAGTGTGCATCCCCTCAAAAGATCACGCCAGGGAAAATCTTGCCTGCTTAATTGCGCCCAAATGTTGCCACCATGGCTATTACAGAAACCTGTTAAAAGTTTACTGCTGGCCTGTGCTGATGGTGAACAGTAAATCAACAGATGAATGAGAAACGTGTCATATTGACTCATGTGGGAGCAGACAATAGAGGCTGAACTTTCTACATTATTATTACTGCTTTCCTTCTGCAGAGATTAAGGAGTGGCTCTGCAATTTGTCATGCACAAGGAGGACGGAGATAATGAAGTGGGGGCTTAGGCAGGCAGACTTGGGATGTTAACAAATGCTAGCAGGTCTGAGTGACAACTCAGCAGCAAACAGAGCTTCTCTCTCTTTGTTTTACGGTTATACTACAAAGGCTGTGTTCAGGCGGTGCTTTATTCCCTCTTCCTGGCATTTCTGTACCTGTTAATTTTCACATTTTATGTGATCTTTCTCATGATGTAAAATCCAGTTCTGGAAATCTAGTGGAATGTAGTGGCAATTTAGTGCTCATTTCCATGTTAGTTGTTTGGAGAAAAAAATTGTTTGCAACCCTGGAAATTCAGAATATTGGGGGCAGGTTTGCTTATGTAACAAATTTTGGGGCTATAGTTTGGCATACCTCCTAGTGAACCATGAGGGAACAGAACTGTGCATGTCCAGATAGGGTGAAGGAGTTTGTTGTTGCATCACACCAATCCACTAACATGAGTGAAAAGCTACAGTTCCACAATGCAACAGGTACGGTAAAGGTAAAGGGACCCCTGACCATTAAGTCCAGTCGTGGCCGACTATGGGGTTGCAGCGCTCATCTCGCTCTATTGGCCAAGGGAGCCGGCGTACAGCTTCCGGGTCATGTGGCCAGCGTGACTAAGCCACTTCTGGCGAACCAGAGCAGCACACGGAAACGCCGTTTACCCTTCCCCAGAGAGGTACCTATTTATCTACTTGCACTTTGACGTGCTTTCGAACTGCTAGGTTGGCAGAAGCAGGGACCGAACAACGGGAGCTCACCCCGTTGCAGGGATTCGAACCGCTGACCTTCTGATCAGCAAGTCCTAGGCTCTGTGGTTTAACCCACAGTGCCACCCGCGTCCCAATGCAACAGGTACTGCCATGCAAAAGGAACCAGTGAAATTAATGCAATAAACCAGGGGTGGCCAACTCCCAAGAGACTGTGATCTACTCACAGAGTTAAAGACTGTTATCCCCTTTTTTGGGGTTCAAGTTAAAGTTGTTGAGCTTTTCTTAGGAAGGAGGAAGGCCCATTTGGGGGGAGGGTTCGGGTCAAAGGGTTGTTGAGTTTTTTTCAGGGAGCTTTTTAGCTTTTTCGCTGAGGTTTTTTTAGGGGACCCACAGTTGTTCAGCTTCTTTGGGGAGAGCCAATGATCTACCAGTGATCTACTGCAGACGTCCAGTGATCTACCAGTAGATCACGATCTACCTGTTGGACATGCCTGCAATAAACCTCACATCTGAATGCAGCCAAAGTTAAAGCAGTCTCCCCTCCCCAGGTTTATCTACTCAGTTTCTCCCTCTGTGGAATCCCCTGGATTTGATATTAAGCTCTTTAAATACCTCTGCTGTGTCGGATAGGAAGACACTGTGGCCTTTGTATGCCTTTCAGCGTTAAAAAGAACACTCTGCATTATTGTAGTAAAGTGGGAGAATGGTAAAATATGGTAAAATATGGCTGATCCCATATTCTCCATGTATACTAGGTACAGTGGATGTTCTCATTGTATCGTGCAGGCATCTCAATTTGCAAGCGCCAAGACCCAGCAGTCAAAACAGCCAACCATCAGCTGACTGTCAGCACTTGCAGATCATAGCACAGCATACGTCAAAGGCACACCATGTAAGAAATCAGGTGGAGGCCAGGTAGGCGTGGTTGAAATGGCTTGGTGGGCCAGATGGGGAGGCACGCCTGGAATGCAGACTCCTCACCACTGAATTAAGCCCCTAGACATGTGATGCACTCAGTGTTGAGAGTTAGTTCACAGTGATCCCTTTGTCTTTCCTTAAGAAATGTTGTGAGTCTGTCAAGCATTCCAGATGGCAGACAAACAAAACGTACGACACGAGATATCCAACGAAACTCACTTAAAAGGAAACAACCCAAACAGTTCATAAAACAGCTGGAAGCCAGTTCATTTATAGGCAACTTTTATGGTTATAAAAGATCATCTGTTGGGACAAACTTTCTTAAGATGACAAACTTCACACGAAAATGCTGATAAATTTTCAGGGAGATGGCACCCTCTAAAAATCCGCAGAGTGGAGACATGGGGAACCAACCTTAAAATTAGGAAGGTGAGAAACTGGGAGAAACCAAAATGGGCAAATTGACCTAGCTGGGACTGAGTGTGTGTAAGGAGCAGCGGCTCCCTTCTTACCTAGAGTGCAGGGCCAAGGAAGGGACAGGGACTTGTTCTCCAGCTGCTGCTGCCTGGGCTGCTACTCACAGCTGGTGAGGGACAAAATAAAAATACGTGAAAGGAGAGCTTATCCTCATAAGAGGATAACATGTAAGCCAGCCAAGACAGATCTATCCCCTCCCCAAATACCTTTCTTTAAAAGGGTCATATTCATTGGGGAGAGCAGATTTGGTCTTTATTAGTATTATTTCCTTTAAGCTCCTGAAAAAGCAAACTTGAAAGCCAACTGAATTGTGCCAGTACATTCAAATGGCAGAATGTCTGTTTCCTTTTCATTTGCAATTTGGAGTGGCCACTGAGGATGTGCTGGGCGCAGGGTGGGGTGGGGGGGGGAGAATTATTGGATGTGTGAAAAATGCTTTTATGCTCATAACCCCCTAAACTCTGCGATTTGCCAGGAATTTCTGGGGTTCTTGCCAATGGCAAAAGAATTCCCACCACCACCACAGAGGACACGACTTACTAGGAAAATATATCTCTTTTCACATTAGCTGAGTATTACAGAAGTTTTAGTTAAATTATATGCATAATTTTCCCTCTTATGGGCAAGCTCTCAGCTGCCTTTTCCCTTTCAAGATGGAATGGTAGAAACTATTCCACATGGCTAATGGAGTATGGAAAAGCACCAGAAGGAAAAGTAGGTGGAGCAATGGATGTGTCACCGTCACGTACAACATTTCAGCCACACAAAATTCAGAGGGTTCTGTACACACACACACACACACACACACACACACACACACTTCCAGGCAAGCAAGAGGCATTATGGGAGTACAAAGACACATTCCACCCAGGCAAAAGCACTTCAGGAGAATGTGGAACAGGGTCAATGGGGGTATGACTTAGCTTGACTCCTGGGGGCCACATACAGAGAACTGAAGGGCCACATTTGACCTCTGACGTCTGGGGTTCCCTACTCTTGTTTTGTCTAACAGAGGGTGATGTTATTATTGACAGAATCAATTTATGATAATGTGTGGGACAAGAGCCCATTGGGAATCCTTAGATCAGAGGTCGGCAACATAAGGCCCATGGGCCGGAAGCAGCCCATGAGGGTCGCTTAACCGACCCATGAGCTGCCCCTGAACCAAGCCGCCTGCTCGGCGAGACCCCTAAATTGGGACAGCATGGTGCGGGGACTCTCTTCTGCAGCACCGGAAATAGCTTCTGTGCATGCCTAGATGCTGAAAATCGCTTCTGCGAGGATCTCCACAGGAGTGATCCGGCCCTTGCCGACCCCTGCCTTAGATGAATCCCCCAAAACGATTTTTATTTGTGGTAATGTAAGCAAATCTAGGGACGCGGGTGGCGCTGTGGGTTAAACCACAGAGCCTAGGACTTGCCGATCAGAAGGTCAGCAGTTCAAATCCCATTGCTCGGTCCCTGCTCCTGCCAACCTAGCAGTTCAAAGGCATGTCAGAGTGCAAGTAGATAACTACCTTCTGGCGGGAAGGTAAACGGCGTTTCCGTGTGCTGCTCTGGTTTGCCAGAAGCGGCTTAGTCATGCTGGCCACATGACCTGGAAGCTGTACACCGGCTCCCTCGGCCAATAAAGCAAGATGAGCGCCACAACCCCAGAGTTGGTCACGACTGGACCTAATGGTCAGGGGTCCCTTTACCTTTTTAAGCAAATCTAGGGTCCCTCAACAACCATAAAACTTCTTTGTCTAGCAGAAAACTCAGGCCTGTCCTTGCTCAAGATTCCCCCTATTTCCCCCACCATGAACATTATCCAAAGATTAAAGCTTCAGAGCCAAAAATCTCTTCATTCGGTAAGACATATGCCAGCCGATATAAAGCCTTTTGAAATTTCCTTGCTTTCAATAGCAGGCAGTTTAGGAAATGGTTAGCTCTCCAAATAAAATAAATTTGGCGTCAAATAATGCTTACTACTTTGCTGCATTGTGCCTAGTGATGATACTTGTTATATTTCTAGAGCACTTTTCCTGAGTGCTCTTAAGTGATTTATATAATATTATTTCAATGATGCTTTCAAGAAAACATTGTTAGGTAAGCCGGGGCCATTAGTTCCATATTACAGATTGCAGGTGGTAGAGATGGTGGCTTGCCTAAGGTTCCCCTGATGAGTTCATGCCTGAATTTGAGATGTACTCCCAGCAGGTCTGCAGTCCTTTCACTGGCTGGAGTAGAAGGAGGCGCCAGGAAAATCACTGTACTGGCTCAGGATCCAGCAGGTCCCAAGCCATTTCACCCCCTCTGCCTGCAGAATGCTCCATTTCAGGGCTTTCTGTGGGTTGTTGTCCACCTGCATTTTTGGCAGGGAGAATAGGGAGTTCCACGGTAGCAGAATGTTTCTGGTGCCACTGGCAGAGGCCAACAGAACTGGGCAGAGGGATACCTCTGCCCAAAGGAAACATCCCCTGCATCGCAGAAAGGGGCTTTGGATGGCAGCCTCATTCTCTTAACCATAACACTACACCCAGGGCTTTTTTCAGCTGGAACTCTCCGGAACTGAGTTCTGGCACCTCTTTTTCTAGAAAAATAGCACTGAATCAGCTTCTCTTATGGTATGCTAATTTTAATATACAGAAAAGGTGTCTACATTTCTCATTTGCTATAAATATTTTATATAACGTATAGTAAAATGTAACCTTGTCAGAGGCAAACTGAGCGCATGGTATTCAAATCACTCTAAACCAAGAAAAACCATTGAAATTTCATATCTTCAGGCATGAACTCACCAGGGAGACCTTCATTGGTTTAAACCACCTGTAAGTAACTTCTGTTTAAATGCATTGCTTGGACTGTTAGATGTTCCTCAGTCCTTGCGTGACCCTCTGTTCTTAAAGCATTTACATGGGAGCCGCTTCCTTTGACGCTGGAATACTATTGCTGCAATGCGAACATAATGTTGTGTCTTGCTTAGCAAACCTTAAGTTTAAGCTGTATTCAAACTAAGAAATTTTCAAAGATGGCAACCACTATGTAAAACAAAAGCTAGAACATGTGCAGGCTAAGAAGGTGATGTTTCGGAAATGAGAGTGATCATGCTCAGTGGCCATGGAATGCTGGCTAACAGTTGGAGGAGAAAAATATGGTAAAACAAGAAAGAAAGAGGAATGGACTGGATTTCCTAGAACAGGGTATGGTTTACCAGCTAGAACCCTGAACAGAAGCACTCCACACTATAACAGTCTATGCAAGTTCCGTTTGTTAATATTACCTTTTAAAGTGAAGTAATCTTTAAAGAAATGTGCCTGTTTTACTGCAGAAGAGCAGTTGTCATCCATCAGCCTCAGGAGACAACAGGAGAGTGTGCCTTCAGGGGTAAATTCAAACCATTGGAGAGTTACAGTAGCTGTAGTGACCGATATGGGAGAGACATGTTTTGTTGCAGCTGGGGCAGATGAAGGCATCCTGTTGTGCTGCTACAGGTGCACCATGGCATTTCTTCTCTCTTTGCTCCTCCCAGCAGTCATTCTTCCTCTGGTCACTGTCTACCTCCAGGCACTGCTGTCGTCCGCAAGGGATTCCCACACAGCGGAGTTGATGTTGCCAGACTTCATGTCATGTTTACAGACACCTTTGTAATACAGAGTTAGTCTGCCAATGGGCCTGGTGCCTGAAGCCAGCTCCCCTTAGAGCACATCCCTGGCAACCCCACGATCTTCCATTCTGTGGACATGACCAAGCCAGCATAGACGTCACTGAGACATTCTGGAAATGTGGGCTTGGGAGAACACATATTTGTTTGAGACTCTGCCCTGGCAATTAACCTAAAATCATAATTTTACCTAACCAAGGAGGAGGAGACATTTTTCCTTTTTATTCATGTCAGTTAGTTCCTCGTCTATATATTTTTTCAAGAGAAGCATGGGGGGGGAGAACAGAATCTGACACACATTCTTCAGTGGAGAACATTTCTTGGTTTCACATAATTCAGTTACCATATACTATCTTGGAAACCACAATAGCTATAAATAATTTGACCACACTTTCCTCTTGATAGTATCTCTCAACACATGCACATGCCTGGAGAGAGAGAGAGAGAGAGAGAGAGAGAGAGAGAGAGAGAGAGAGAACAAACAGTCAGATATTTGTGAAATGAGATGAGAATATCAGAGTCTTTTGGTTGCGAGGCGCGTGAGGGCTAAACGGTCCCTGCCTAGAGTTTATGCTTTTATGCTCAACGCAGTTTCCTGACAGAGGCTGCGGAAGCATGCACCTCTTTGAAGGCGCAAACTACCAAAATGTCACCTGAAGGAAACAAATAGCGCCACTCATCCAGGCAAGGCTTGGGTGGAGTTATTTCAGTCAGCCTTAACGATGCTTTCATGATAAGCACCAGAGAAACTTGCTGAGCTCCCCAAATTAGATGAACCTGGTGGTTTTCATGCTAAGCCATATTTGTGTGCTTCAGATGTCTTTGACCAATAAATCATGCTTTTTTAAAAAAAAGTTGACAGTATACACACACACACAGGCAGATAGGAATGGGAATGGGAAAGAAATTTGTTTGCTTTACCTGTCAAAATCACAATTCTCAAACCAATACGCAAACCCAAAGAGCGCCCTCTTTTTTAAAATTTGTACTTCTCTGACCTTTGCAATGCTGTTCTCCAGCCAAGGAATGCAAATGAGGATGAGTTTATTAGTGAAAAGTGCATGCAAAAATGCATGCATTAGTGACAAGAATACAGAAAGATGCTTTTATTTAGCTGCAAAAATGCCTGTATTCAGCAACAATTGCAGTGCTTTTTTTCTGGGGGGACGCAGGGGTATGTATACCCCTAAACATTTTGTGAATCTGATGGGAGAAGAAACTATTTTTTTTTAAAACTATTTTTAAAAAATAGTTTCTTCTCTAGCACTGGGAATCATCAGTTCCGTTGCTACCTCCGATGGTGGCCTTTTATCCATTTACTGTATTTATTTTTCCCAATTTGAACTATAAAATGATGATTTTCTCAAGTCAAAATGAGAGTACCCTTAAGCATTTTTTTAGAAAAAAAACACTAAACAATTGCATAAAATAATGTAGGTATTAGGAGAAGTGTGCAAATTTTGCAAATGGATGCAGAAATGGGGCTGGAAGTGTAATAGGAAAAATGAGGATTTATATATTCCTACAGGCAGATAAACAATGACACTGTTACATAACTGTAGCAAGCCTTTCTTTTCATACGTGAAGTCTTCTGCTCCTCGTGACAACCAGGCTGCCCTGGTTCAGAGGAGTTCAGAGCACATGACTTTGCATGCAGAAGCAAGCTCTGGTGTGGACAAGCCCATGGGCTGCCTGAAAAACAGTGTGCCCACATTGGTGGCATCTCATTAATGAAGCCCTTGAGAAATTCTAAAGATATTATCACTTGTTTGATCTGAAGAATGGTTGTTAACTGAGGACAGTCCTCCTCCATCATCCCTTTCAGGGTTATTTCCTACGCTGCAATTTCTTTGTTTGTTCGAAAGCTTCCCATCTCTTGTAGGCAGAAATTGCCACGATAAAAGGTGTGACCTTGTCTAATTTATCTCTTTCAGTCTTTGGGACTAAAGATGCCTGTAGCCGTTCAAACAATGCAACCATCCCAACAGCAGTGCCCTTCAAGAGCGCGAGCTTGTCTTTCAGTTGTGCTCTTTTGTGTGGCACATTGTGTGAGCGCTGTTCAGCTTCTATGACTAGCAGCTGAATTCCCAGACTTGCCTACTCAAAAGTAAGTCCCGTCATTGAGGTTCCTGGGGCTTACTCCCAAGTAAGTGTGTATAGGATCAAGGTCTTAAGGATGGGATCATGCAGCCACTGAGACAGCTTAAAAAGTTAAAGAGCGAGGGCAGAGGAACCACCATATTTTCCGTCAAAATATTTAGGGGGAAATGTTGAGTTGCTGAAGCAGAAGCACCCGCTTTGAGAAAGAAGGTTTGGCTCATGCACAACAAATGAACAAAATCCGTGTGTTTATTGCACAATGTAACTTAACATCTGGAAATGTGGTAAGACAGAAGGGAAAGTGATTCCATGCAGAGCCAATGTACTGCCTGTTGCAGAATTCTGCCTTGGACAGCCAGCTCACCTAGGCAGAGAATGATGAGGGGTTTTAAAATATATTTTTAAGGCACATCCAGTTCTTTCTCATTTCTGCAGCACACCTGATGCCAAAAGGACATTCAGTGTTTGAAGTACGAAAGAGCGGGCGAAGGAAGTGGGAAGGTTTTGTTTCAAATTAGGGCAGACTTATAGGCTGAGTATGCATGTTACATTTAAAGCACAGTCATGCTCCAAGGAATCCTGGGAACTATAGTTTTTTAAGGGTGGTGAGAGTTGTTAGCATACCCCGATTCCCCTCACAGAGCTATGATTCCCAGAGTGGTTTAACAACCAAGCCCTTTCCATGAGGAACTGAGAATTGTAGCTCTGGGAAGGGAACAGGTGTCTCCTCTCAGAACCCTTAACAAACGACAGCTCCCAGAATTCTTTGAGGGAAGCCATGATGTGACGGGAAAGTTTCTTTTGCTGGACAGGTTGGGTCCTCAAGTGTTTTATTTTTATTTTCCCTGCCAGCAAATGGTTAATGAATGGCAGCCTCTGATTGGCCAGGGTTCCAGGAGAGGGGGTTGAAAAGGAGAGGATTTGGAGAAACAGTGTTTTAGGTTGCGATAGTGGTTGGGACTGAGGTAGCGAGATAGGTTAGGAGTCAGGTTGGGAGATAGGGAGTGAGAGGAGAGAGAGTTGGTTCTGGGTAGAAACATCCACTCTGAGGAATATATCACAAGCTAGAGAAAGGAGTCTCTGTGTGAAGGACAATGTGTGGTGTCCTGTAAGAGTAATAAGCCAGGAATTAACTGGGAGACTGAGGCTGAGCCAGGAGAAGTAGAATCTGGAAAGATACAGTCTACTTAGGTCTCATTCCAGTCAGGAGGGGAGAGATTCTTCTACAAAAAGAGAAGACTCCCAAACCAGTTAAGAGGGGTGTGGTGATCCCTTGGGTCTGTTACTTGGAGTACCTCAGGAGTAGGGTTGTCTAAGGGATGTGTAACTGACAGGAAGTACCACCTTGTTTAAGAACCAAAGTATTAAACGGCAACAGCTGTGCAACAACTGAGAAAGAACTGAAGTGAAATAGCATTATAATCTGAAGTATCCTATGTTTTACCCACTTGTGTCATAAACTTCCTTTGTTTAATAAAATCTTTATTGTTAATTTGATCAAATCCTGCATGAGACTCCAAATTATTAAGTTTTCCCTCACACAAGTCGATACGATACGATACGATATCTTTATTGTCATTGTCCCTTGCGGAACAATGAAATTGAAAACTACATAAAACTACATAAAAACTACATAAAACTACCACAAAACTACATAAAACTACATAAAAACTACATAAAACTACTACAAAACTACATAAAACATTCAAAACCCCCTAAAAACTCTAAAACCCCATTTTAAAACACACTATACTACAGAAACCCCTTATGCTGCGTTTAGAACCAGAATTGCATTAGCGTAGAAACTGTTTTTCAGGCGGCTAGTCCTGGCCTTTATAACCCTATACCTTCTTCCAGAAGGCAGAAGCTGAAAGAGATCATTTCCGGGGTGCGTACTATCATGTGCTATCTCTGCCGCTTTCTTATGGCACCTGGCAGCATAGATTTGATCTAAGGTGGGAAGAGTGCACCCAATAATTCTCTCTGCAGTCTTTACAACCCTGGATAGCATTGTTTTTTCCCTGGCCGTGCAGCTCCCAAACCACACGCACAGACCATAAGTTAGTACGCTCTCTACAGTGCAATGGTAGAATGCCATCAACAGGTCCTTTGAGAGATTGTTTTTCCGGAGGATTCTCCGAAAATATAACCTCTGCTGTGCTCTCTTCACCAGGTCTTTGCTGTTCTCTCCCCAGGTTAGGTCGTCTCTCAACTCCATTCCCAGAAATCGAAACACTGAGACCTGTTCCACGCACTTCCCCTCAATAATAAGTGGCTGAATATTCAATTTACATTTCCTAAAGTCCACAATGATCTCTCTTGTTTTCTTTAAGTTAAGCAGTAACTGCTCAACTGCTCAACTTCCTTCCTATAGGCCGTCTCCCCCTCTCCAGCCGTAATTAAACCAACCACCGTTGTATCATCTGCGAACTTAATGATCTTATTAGTGGGGTATTTGGGGGCACAGTCAGCTGTATAGAGCATGTATAAAAGCGGGCTCAACACGCACCCCTGAGGTGTCCCTGTATTCGTGATGAGATCCGCAGAGACGTGGGAACCCAACCTGACCCTTTGGGAACGGTTTGATAGAAAGTCTAATATCCACCTGCACAAACATGGTGGAAGTCCCAGGTCTAATAATTTGGGCACCAATCTATGCGGAAGAATAGTATTAAATGCAGAACTAAAGTCTACAAATAACAGTCTCGCGTAGTTCCCTTGCTTCTCCAAATGAGTCAGGACAGCATGTAAAGCCATTGCCACAGCATCCTCTGTGGATCTCTTTGCATCTCTTTGGATCTCTGGATCCAAAGAGTCCCCCTACTTTGTAGTTTGTAGGAATTCATGGCATTGGTGTTCTCTGAGGTGGGTGCACTATATTTAAGTGAGGGTGGGCCCAATGTCACCAGGGGAAAAAGTGCTGTTGTGCCGTCGCACACGACAGTTTAAAGTGGTATCATGTTGCTTTAAATATATGATGTGAATGTGGCCGATAAACACCAGGCTGGTAGCACCCATAGAGTTGGTCAGGGAGTATGACTTGAGAAGGAATAAAACCCAGAGGCTTATATGTGTAAAATGTGGGTATTACAAAAGCATTCTAAAATGTATGCCTTTCAGGGAAAACCATCATTAAAGCTTACAATGAGCAAGCTTAGTGTTTCTTTATTTGATTTTCCTTTTAGTTAGCTACTGTTAAGTAAGGCATCCCAAGGCACTTGTAAGGCACCTCATCTGTGAAATACTTGGGACTTGCACGCAGTTTGAAAGCACTGTGGCTTGAGGCTGATGTGGAAAAGGTTGAACTGAAATTGTTTGAACCTACAGTACATTCGAAAACGGAAGCATAACCTATTTTACTATCACTTCTTCTGTGGTTTGTCTGATTCCTGTTGAAATGAATATTTCATTTATGAAGTGCCCTTTTGTGGCAAAGCCGTGTGCTCATTCTAGAACAGGACTTATAAATGCAAGACTGGGAGTCACAAGAAGAGAGCATGAACTGAGGGTCTTTGCCCAATGGAATGACCCCTCCCAAAAAAGCTGTATAGGCAATACAGCAGGAATGAATACAAGATGGCATTTATTTAATTGGATTAGAACCTGGACCTTTTCAGACAAGCAGTTTATATTCAAGATGCTTCTCATTTGGTTGTAGGCTCCACAGCGCTAACACAGCAAAGGAAGTATTTCTGCTTTGGGGTTATCACGGCTCAAGCAGCAGCATTTTGCAGCTTTCAAATTAGATGCCTTTCCCCATCCAATGGCAACTTTACAGTTTGGGGTGCTAGCCAAACCCTAGCATTCCCTTACACATAATCCCTTACCTTGGGATCGTTGGAAGATTACTTACGAAGCCTGCGAATATCCCAATGTGAATATTGCGATGCAAATTCTGTGTTAATAGGAGAGTCTAACCTTCATACTGATATGAGCATGGATCTAGTTACCTTAATTGATATGGAGAAGTTTCTTTTGGAAGAAGACGATCAGATGAGTAATTGCATCTCATAGGATTATAAAGCAAACAATTCCGGTTTACAATTGAGTTAGCTAGTAAACATGCTACATTTAATAATTTTAAATGGTAATTTAAAGATTGGTTTGGATGGGTTATTTACATATATTGGCTCAGCAGAGGCCCGTGGAGTGGATGATGAGGTCTTTGTGTCCCCCTTGCAGAATGAAAGTGTTCCACTAGAAGTGGGAGAAAATGTCAGAAAGGGACAATGAGCTTCTGTTGGTTCAGATTTCATTTAATGATAAACCATGACTTCTGTCTGGTAGCAGTCATGGGGTAGGGTGGGGTTGGACTTCACTGCCTTCCTGGCTTCCCAATGCTTGAGTCACTGGCGGTTATGAGAAGAGGTAGGTGTGGTGTTGGAGCAGTGGCAGGAGCATTAGATCAGCTCCACCACTGCACCAGCACTGCACCAACCTTCCCATGGCCTCCATCTTGGTAACTAGAAGCAACCCCAGCATTGGGAAGCCAGCGAAGCTGCCCTGCCCCACCCCGTCCTGCCCTGCCCAGTCAGTTGCTACCATTTCTGCCCCTTAAGCAAAGCCACAGAATTGAATCCATTCAAATTGCAACAGATAGGCACATTAAGGGGTCAATAAATCTTGCAAAGATATTAAAATCTCAGCTTAAATCCCCAACAGTAATTAAAGAAGGTATAATTCTGTGTATAGGTGCTTCTCCGCTTATACACGTCCAACTCACGTGTGGGAAATAATTAAATAAATCTATTTCAACTGCAAAAATGTGTGAAAAGGGCAAAAAATGGCCCCAAAAGAGTGGGGAAACTGCAAAAATGTTGCCAAAGAGTGGGGAAACAGCTAGCAACCCCAGGAGGATGTAAACTGCAATCCCATGAGCCTTTGCACCAACCTCTGAGGCCTGTGGAGAGTTGGCGTTTGAGAAAGGAGGTTTGGCGGGATCAAACAAGATGAATTTTAACAGGGAGAAATGTAAAGTATTGCACTTGGGCAAAAAAAATGAGAGGCACAAATACAAGATGGGGGACACCTGGCTTGAGAGCAGTACATGTGAAAAGGATCTAGGAGTCTTGGTTGACCACAAACTTGACCTGAGCCAACAGTGTGACGCGGGAGCTAAAAAAGGCAATGCAGTTCTGGGCTGCATCAATAGGAGTATAGCATCTAGATCAAGGGAAGTAATAGTGCCACTGTATTCTGCTCTGGTCAGACCTCACCTGGAGTACTGTGTCCAGTTCTGGGCACCACAGTTCAAGAAGGACACTGACAAACTGGAACGTGTCCAGAGGAGGGCAACCAAAATGGTCAAAGGCCTGGAAACGATGCCTTATGAGGAACGGCTAAGGGAGCTGGGCATGTTTAGCCTGGAGAAGAGGAGGTTAAGGGGTGATATGATAGCCATGTTCAAATATATAAAAGGATGTCACATAGAGGAGGGAGAAAGGTTGTTTTCTGCTGCTCCAGAGAAGCGGACACGGAGCAATGGATCCAAACTACAAGAAAGAAGATTCCACCTAAACATTAGGAAGAACTTCCTGACAGTAAGAGCTGTTCGACAGTGGAATTTGCTGCCAAGGAGTGTGGTGGAGTCTCCTTCTTTGGAGGTCTTTAAGCAGAGGCTTGACAACCATATGTCAGGAGTGCTCTGAAGGTGTTTCCTGCTTGGCAGGGGGTTGGACTCGATGGCCCTTGTGGTCTCTTCCAACTCTATGATTCTATGATTCTATGATTTGTGGTGGAGTTTTGCAGATGGAAGGGCGCAGGCTTTCCCCATCTAACAGTATATGCGCGGTACCCAGAAATGTCACACACACACACACGCACGTGAGTGGGGAGATACCTGTACATATAATTCTGAAGACATACACTATATTAGTGGGGAAGGTATGATCTGGAGTGCTGTCTGGGATGAGGTTGGATGCATTTAATGAGTGCCTATAACACTGATGTTGAGAGGCACATCTCCTCCTCCCCCCGCCGCCATGCCCACATCATTTTTAAAAACTCATCTGTGCATGGGTGGAGAAGCCTCTTCTCAATATACTCCTGCAGCTGCATGCTTTCATACTTTGCCTTGAGAGTGTATGGTTGAACTCACTGCTGAGGTTAATTCTTCAGACCTTGCCTGACTAGTCAGTTTCAGCTCCATGTGACTCCCTCCTTGAGAGGCTGAGTGCCCTCCCTCCTTGTGTGCTGAAGTGTATATCATCCAGACTTAAGATGAAAGTCTTCCACTAGGTATGGAGTCTAGTGTATCCCCCTCCCCACTGGTTACAAATGGATTGGATACGTCCAACCTTTTTCAGGAGTGCCTCACAAAGACTAAACTGTGGAGCAGTGCATATCCCTCGTTCGCTATCCGATCCATGCACAGCCACTGGTCACTGCTAAAATCCTCAGACAGGATTAGATAGTGTTTTAAAATATACTACTAGCATTTTAATCGGAACCATATGTCCTGCTTTGAGACTCGCTTGCTTCCATGACAGAAATCTTAACCTTTAATCTAATAGTTCTGTGTTCCCTCTCCAACTCCCCTTTTTTCACTTTCTTACACCTTCCTATCCTGTTGGCCAATTTCAGATTGCTGGTAGGGACTTGTTTGTTTTTGAGATGTGTTGCACAATGTATAGCAAGGGCTTCTCAAATAAAGGCAGAAAGCCATGCAACAGTGAAGGAACAGGGAGCTCTGTCCTGTCTAAACAGCACTTCTGTGCTAGAGCATCAGCGCAAAGGATGAGGCATATAGGGTTGCTATATTTCAAAAAATAAAAACCAGGACACCTCAAAAGTTGTTGAGCTTTTTATAGGAAGACCCCCAAAACACGGCTTTTCAGCACCGCCTTTCAGAAAATCTGGACGTATGGCAGCCCTAATTGAGCTCATGCACTTGGTGCAACGGTGATTGTGCTCCTTTGCTACAGTTTCGCGCAGGGGTGGGGAACTTGGGGTTCTCCAGATGTAGTGTCACTCCAGCTTCCGTCAGTGAATGGAGTCCAGCAACATCTGGAAGGATGCACACATTCCTCACCCCTGGTGGAGCAGGTCAGCTGTGCCTTCTGTGGTGGGGCAGCTGCAGATGGCTTTCGTGCCAGTACAAGGGAATGGGAAATGATGTGTACAGCATTTTATTGTTGGTATTAGACAGCTGTTAGAAATCGATCATTCAATATGGCAGCACCTACACTTTGGAACTTCCTTCCACTTGACACCAGGCAGGCACCTTCACTGGGTCCTGCTGAAAATGTTTTTGTTTGGACAAGCCTACTCGGACATGTAGAATGTAGATAGGTGTTTTGAATATGTTTTTAGTTTATTGCTGGTTTTAATTAATTTTTTAAATGTTTTAAATAGTTGTTCCCCACCCCACAATCAAGTAGTGTATACATTTTATGAAATAAATTATAAATAAACTAAGGGGCACTTTCTTTCTTTTTTGCCAGAAACTGTCTTCTTGTGGCATTCCTGACAGGTTTAAAAAAGTAGATTAATCACACTATAAATCCACTATTTAGTCAATATATTTCAAATATTATTTCTATTGAAGATTGGTGTGTGTGTGTGTGTGTGTGTGTGTGTGTGTTTTGTTGGGAATACAGGCTAAAACATGCTATGTTGCTATGCTGGGCTATCATAAGTGCTTCCACTACTAAACCAATAGTGGGAAGTGACTCTAAAGTTTCCTGTTTGACATTAGTTCCTTCCTACTATGAATTGAGTGATTTATTGTACAATGAAGCCATTACAGAAAGAGAGAGGAGGTGCTGGCTGAAGCCAGCCAATCTACAGCACTACATTTATAGGGCCTATAATTATCCAAATTTTTGAGATGCACAATAGTATCTGCTGAAAGGGAACATCTGGGAGGGGAGCGACATGTCCCAATTAAACGATGGATGAGCAGCTTCATGTATTGGATAACTTGCTGTGTTAATGGGGTTGCAATTTTACAAATGCCACTCAAGTTAATAAACATGTTCCGAGAGTAGCAACGCCCGAGTGGGAGTGGAGGACACCCAGAGATCAAGTGAAGACGACATGTGTTCTCCCAAGTGATTTAAGATAACAGAGCAACAATAAGATGGACTAAATAAAAAAAAGAGTGCAGAGAATGTCACAGACTCATGTGCTGTGGAAGGACATTAGGGAAGGTGCTAGCAATTGGTACCCTGCCTTTTTTAAAAAATGAAGATGACAGTTCAGTGTCAACACAGAGAATTTTTCAGTGTCTGGGCCAAAGTTGCACATGACATTCATGACATTTTTAAGCAAACGTGCATAATCTGAGTGGATTTATTTTGGAGGCAGGGCACTTTTGATCTGGATTATTGATTATTGATTAAATATATTGGGCTGTGTACACATTGCCAGCTTATAATACAGGTAGGTTGTTCGTTTCCTCGATTCGGATCAAAGCTGGTTTGGAGAATAGGGCACCAAAATGCAACATCTCATAAGAAATGACAGGATAAATACGGATTGTAGCTAAAGTGTGTACAGCACTACCCAAACCAGCAATGAGAGCAAAGAGGAGTGTGTATACAACCTTAGCAACATTTTTGAGCTCTAGTGTCTCGGTGTGGTTTACACATTAAAAATAAAACACCAAAGACATTGAAATCAGATAAAAACTAAATAAACTAAAACTAAAACTGGAACGGAGCCCTGTACTGGTTATCTGCTGAAAATCACTCTCTTCTGGCTGCTGCTGCTGCTGTTTTAACTCTGAAAGTGCTGTCTGGTCTAAATAGCACCTTCTGGAGCAAATAGCAACCAGATAGGGAATATTTCAGGAAAAAACAGACTTAGGACCTGAATCAAGACTGGGGGGCATGTTCCAGCCAGGGGCCTGTGGGAGTTTTCCCTCCAAAATAAAAGCAGCCAAGATAAGCACACTTGTTTATATAATTGACTAATGTCATATGCTGTTGGCCCTTAATCTTTATGCAGAAAAGGGTATACAGGTGGTGGTTGAGGCATATTTCTGTTCCACAACTGAAATTCTCAACTAGCGATGGGAGAGAAATTTTATTCAGTTTGTATTTAAAGGTAAACCTTCCTAATCCACATTTTCTGAAACAATATGCCAACCAAAACACAACCATGCTTTGAAATTTGCACTGTTTGGCATTTTTCAGTGCAGTTCTCTAGCCAGGCAAAGTCTACAAAAAGGGTAACATGTGCATATAAATGCATATATTAGTGAAAATAACATACAAAAACACATGTTATGGGGAATTGCTTTGTGCAAATGTATCTTTTAGGAGAAATTCGTACTAAAATGCTGGTGAATTTTCATGAGAATGTTAAAAAAAGCAAGTTGATGTGGAGAGCTGAGCTGAAGACTGGGGGGGGGGGGGGAGAAACTGAGAAAAACCAAAACTGACAGATTCACTCATCCCTACTATCAACCTACCTTGGCAGCAGAAGCAATGAGAATATCAGAATGGTGATGGTTGAGGACTTGTCCACATCAGAGCAGGGCAGACATTCATTGAGAATCCCTGAAACAGACTACTGTAAAGCAAGATGAGACTAGCCTGTGATGGCTATTTTGTCCCTGCACTGTATGGACCCTTCCAGACAACCTGTTCATTGGGCATTCATCCTGATTTGTTTGCAAGGCGATTAGACGACGTTGTGTCAAAGGGTCATTGTGCACTTTCTTAGTGTGCATTTCCCCCATCCCTTTCCTTATCACTTTATCTTTATCTCCACCTTTCGGGGAAGCAGGTGTGTTGCACAAGACAGTCAACTGTAAATGTGCAACCTGAACTTGCAATTGAATCCAGCTCCTAAAGAGCAACAACCTGGAAGTGCCTAGACTTAACTAAATTCAAGGTTCGCAAGCTACCCTACGAACGAAAGCAAGCACACAGAGAATGATCATGACAGCTACTGCTGTAGGAAGGTGATATTTGAATAAAGATTCAGAGAGGGATGCTGAGAAAGAGGGGGAGCCTTGAACAGATGTGTTGATGTTTGATATAAAGCACAGAAGCATCTCTTAGGTTTGAAGAACATGCCATGCCTTGTTAACTTGTGTTTTCTGTTGTAAAGGTTTTTTGGGATGGGGTGGGGGTGGGGGAGTTCCTGGATGTCTACCACTCTTCCCCCCCCCCAGGCCCTGACAGATGGCCATTATCTCCCTCACTCCCCAAGACTTCATATTCCCCACATCTTCAGCATCTACTTATTTTTCCCCTGCCAGTGTACTCATGGCTTGTTTGCCGTTCCAGGCATGCCGCTCGCACACTTTGGGAAGGACTTGTTGATAGCAACAGCTTTTAAATTCCAATGCCAACCTACTGGGAGAATCTATATTTGGAACGCGCACGTGCCTGCCTTTTCATGTTCCTTTTGTGCGCAGGCTGGACAGTTTGGTGCCAGCGTCTGTCTATCTGAAGCGCAATCAGCTTCTTCTGCTCAGGTGCCAAAATTCCACAGCTCTTCAAAGGAGATGGGGGGGATGATATTAAAGAATTAGGTCAGTGATTAATTTAGTAAGGCTTTCTTTTTAAAATGCAAGTTTTTTTAATTTTGTTCTGTTTAACAGTGAGCTCTTGCTCTGCTGAAAAATTCCACTGAATTCACAGCCAAACTACAAGTGATAGTGGTGGGATTGTGTCTTGAATTGTGTGGACTGGGGTGGAGGTGTGATTTAAAATGGATGGGTGGAGGGTCATTCTTCCTCAATCTAGCACACATGGCAAAAGATAGCTCAGCTGAGAGAAAAGCAGCTGGGGAGAGGGAGGGAGAAAAGCAGCAGGGAGGAAGGTGGAAAGTCTCCCATACATGCACCTATTTTAATTTGCAACCCATTCCGCTTTACACATGATGGCTGCAGATTGCATTTAACTACATGGACCCACCTCTGTCACTTGTAACTCATCGCTGTTCAGGGTTGCGTTGTGATGCTTCTAGTGTAGTGGGTGTGCTCACATATGAGAACCCGGATAGCTCAGCTGCTTAGAGCATGGCACTGATCATGTCAAGGTTGCAGGTTTGATGGCACAGTTGCAGATTCCTGCATTGCAGGGGGTTGGATGAGATGATCCTCAGGGTCCCTTCCAACTCTGCAAGGCTATTGGAGCCAACTCCAGGGGGCCATGGGTGCTTGGGCACCCACAGTAATATAATTGTGGGGGCCGGGCATCCACAAAGTCAATCAGCAAAGCTGGCAGGTGGCAGCCCCACTGCCTCCGAGAGAGAAGCAGTTCAGCTCCACCCTCTGCAGCCAGCCAGTGAGGCACCCTTTTCTGGTGGGGCTCAAACACAGAGGCAGAGGCAGCCTCAGAGTCCAAGCCCCCCCCCCCCCATGGAAGAGGGTGCCTCGCTGGCTGTAGAGAGGAGAAGGAAGAGGAGCTTGTATGGGAAATGCACCCAGAAGACCAAAATGTATGGAGGAGTTAGTGATCTGACAAGGTTACCCATTCTGCCTCTGTTCCTTCCCCCTCCCTTGCTCTTGTTAAGTTTTTTGATGGTGTGAGAACAGTCTTTAATGTCCTGAGAACATTAAAGGAGGAGGTGAAGCCCCCCCCCCAGCTGCCTTAAACAGTTGTGGAGGATAATGCTGGGTACCTTCTTTGATGTCGGACATTGTTTTGAGAAAGTGAGGCATTGGGATGATCTAATGGATGATCTGCACCTAGCCAGTCTTGGAAGTCACACAGGCTGTCTATAAAATCGGAGAGTTTGGGCAGAGTTTTAAACCTTTGCCTAACGAAAGGACGTAACAGGTCATTATTTTACGTACGGGAAATGATTTTAAACCAGGTGATTTTGCTGCTACTCTGAATCCAAGCATATCACTGGAAAACGACATGCTGATATCTAAGCACATATTCCAGTCTTTAAAATATGGCAGCTTCTGAAAATAATGTTGTTGATAATGTTCAAATTATTGTTATTGAGCAATCTCCCCCCACCCCCACAAGTGCTTCAGTCTATAGCTGCGGTCTCTCTCATTAACTTTGCTTCTTGATGCATTCAGTATGCAGATTCTTCCAGTGCAATGATTTCTGCACATCGCCATATGCCATGTCCCAGGAGAACGGGCAGGGCGGGGGCAAGGGGGTGGGTGGGAGGGGGAGCAGCACTAACCCTTTCTTTGATATCCAATGATAAGATGCCTGGGTATTTTTTCCCAAAAGCAGCACAAACAGCAGCGGGTGGGCAGTGGAAGGCTGCACTTTGTGCTCTTCCATTTTCACCTAATAGCTTTCATTGCCCGTTGAAGCTCCGGGGGTTAGAATGACAAAGGGCAAGGAGCTCAAGAAAGATTTCTGTCTAGACCTTATGGGTGGAAGACTCTTTGGGGAGCATTTGCCACAATGCAGAAAGCGACAGCCACTTTCTCAAGTGCAAATAGAATCGAGTGGATGCGGCGGCGGCTGTTTTCCCTGGCCTCTTACCATTTCTACCCATCTTGTTCTTGCTTAGAAGAAACTGAAAACTCCATGCTAAGACATTTCTTCCAACAGCTAACCTGGGTGTTTGCTAACAATTTTGGTCAGCTAGTAGGCTTAGGTGCCTAAAGCCTATTTAGACTGAATAAGCGCCTATGGTGGTATTGAATGCAGATCAAGTTATTTGGTCATGCCTTACTGGATCAGACCGATAACTATCTAGTCTAGTTTCCAGCAAGATGATTGGCTGGTCACAAGGAGAGAATGAAAGTGATGACCTTCTCCAGATGTTGATCCCAGAGTCAGGTACATTCTGCAGCAGAGTCCCCCAAACTTGGGTCTCCAGCTGCTGTTGGACTACAACTCCCATCATCCCTAGCTAGCAGGACCCAGTAGTCAGGGATGATGTAGAATTGCAGATGGTGGGAATTGGAGACCCAAGTTTGGGAAGCCCTGGTCTGTAGCCTGTGTACACAAATTGGTGAGCTCTACACTCATACAAATGAGGGAAGAGTCTGTGTACCTGTGTACAGAAAACCTGAACTGCATAAATCAAAATGTGCATACACTTTTTATTACTTTTGTCCAGTGTAATGTGTGGTGTGCAACGGGTAAGTAAGCCTTCTTAAAGCATGGAAAGAGGATGTGTGTCCCGTGCAGCCTCTGTTGCTGCTTCCATGTCTTGCGGAAATGGCAGAGATCCAAAAATTTAACAGCTAACTTTAAGTGACACAGTGTTCAGCTGCCAGTCGGATGCTGGTAGCACCCAGAACCTTGGGTTTTTAAGGAATTCAGCCACTATGTCACGTCTTCTTCTGCATACACCTTATAAGCACAATAACTTTCCTGGTCCTGAAAGAAGTGGCTTTCAGATTTTGGACATAATGGAAATTTATTTCATTTTGTTCTGCCTTACAAAACCAGGTCAGTTGGCAACTCTAATTCTTGCTGTCAGAGCTGGCTCCAGGTCCCAGCTCACAGAGGACCAACGCTAGCCGGCAGTAATGTACAAAAGTCTTTATTGAAGTACAGTTTCCATTTTCAAGCCGGAGCGCCCCAGCTCTACGTCTAGGGGTTAGATCGGCGAAGCTCCATCTGAGTCTCCGCCCCTGTACACCAGTTTAAGATTCTAGCTTTACTCCACCTCTTACGCCTCTCCTTTCTCCTCTGGGTCCTGCTACCCCCCGGGGTCCCTTCCTTCCTGGATTCTTCTGACGCTGACCCCCTGACTCCTCCCCTCTTTTCGGCGGGCTTTGGGACCTGGCTCCCTATCCGGGCTGCCAACTGCGCCGCCCTCCTGTACATTTGAACTTGGCGCGCGCGCCCAGCCTTCAACCTTCCTCTCGACCGGTTCCTCGCTCCCCGATGGAGGCGTGGCCAATCCTGACTCATGTCCTCCCACTGGCAGTGCGCCGCCTGATCCCGATGCCTGGGACTCCTCCCCCCCTACTGCACTCTGGTGTGGACGCTGGTCCTGATTTCCAACTGCTGCTCTCTGAGTCCCCTCTGGCCCCTTCTTCCTGGGGTGTCCCCTCGGCACCCCCTTGCTCTGACCAAGGGAGCCCCTTTCTGTGAATCTTCCGATTCGCTGGAAAGACTCAGAGACCTCGGACCGCTGTCATCGCTAACATTTCCTTCGGACTCCTCCCCCTCGCTCTCTATTTCCTCCCTTTCCTGTGCCTCTGCTCCTGAACCCCTGACACTTGCGTATCTGAAATGCGCTTGAAAGTAACAGAGCTTTGCACACTGCTCCATCCCGTCCCCAAGGTCATTCTTCCCCAAATGTGTCAAACAAAGGGCCAGCTGCATTATCTGACCACAGCTTGGTTACACATGCAAAGCAAGGGATGGGGGAGGAAGAAGAGAGGATCATCTATTATTAAAGTGTGAATGGCGGAGACTTTATGGCCCACTGAACTTGTATTGTGTAATAAGAACAGAAAGAGAGGCTCTCTGCTTACCTAGTGCCTTGGGCTCATGAGGCTACATCTGAGACACAACCAGAAAAGAAAATAGGGAGAAACTGTGTTATACTGGTTGTGACTACCTAGATGAACCTCATGTGGGTTTAACACTCCATGGGTTGTGTTTTTTTGTTTTTTGTTTAAAGGAGCTCTCTACCCACAGGAAACAAATTTCCACAGAGGCCAAACTATTGTGACCTTGTCAGCCAGGCGAAATAAGAATAGACTTCACCCTCAGAAAAAAAAAATGCAAAAAGCACATTTTTAACCGTGAGTACCCATCTCAGTCACCACAAAACACTCCCAAGGAAGGGTTTGCTTCAGACATGTTGGTTTCCCCCTCAACATTAGTACAGCAAGCCACAAAGACTGTAGGAAGCCCAAGTGAATACTGACTCTCCTAAAATACATTTGGCCATCTGGCTGACTCACTGACATTCACGTGGCCTTCCCACGTTGGGACATGATTTTCCTTTCTGGCAAATGTGTTCATGGTTAAGGAAATGATATTGTGCACAGAGGCCTTGAGGACTATTCTCTTATGCTTTTTGAGAACTGGCCTGTTCTGGGGGTGTTGATAATAACCTCATGGATTCCACACCCCATCATCTCCTCCACAGTCATCCAGGAAATTGCGGTGGTTCAGAGGGACCAATTCCCATGCAAAGACAGCAGCCGGTATGGAAAACCTGGATATTCCTTTATCAAACCTTTATAAAGTCTTCTTGCCCAGCATGGCCTTGAATGCCATTTGCCTAGGCTTTGCCCTCTGCCACAGTCTTTGGATTCTCACCATGTCCTCTGCATGATTCAAGAGGGAGCTAAAAAAAATATGACTTTTTGTGTGTATATTTTGTTCAATGCAAGTTCCACCTGGTCATTCAACAGTTGAAAAACTGAGGGCTCAGTGTGCATCTTTTCCTGTTCCCTCTTCATGCCATTTCCCTTGTGTATCATGTCTATTAGATTGCAAGCCTGCAGTGAAGGGCTGATTCGTTTTTAAATCTTTGTACAAGTCTCTAGGACGCTTAAGGACTTTATGATGTTGATCATGAGGAAGCAGTTGCATATTATTGTCCTTGAGAGGTAATTGGTGCTAGTGTACACTAACATTGTACACAACTGGATCAACTTGTGTGGAAGACTCTGCAGAAGAACTGCTACTTCTCATGCATGTGTCATAAGTGTGGCCAAGCCCTTAGGTGAGGACTGGTGAATATGTTTAAACTAGATCAGGGTATTTTACTTGCAGGCAGGGATGGAGGAGAAATTTGATTTTGCTTGCATTTTAATGAGAACTACCTAATTCAGACATCTCGAACCAATAGGCAAACGCAAACCCAGCTATCCTTTGAAATTTTCACTTCTCCGAATTCTGCAATGCAGTTCTCCAACCAAACAGTATGACCAAAAATGCATATACTGTGGAAGGGAGAGTTCATAAAAATGGTCATTAGTGAAGATTACATTCAAAATGCATTATAATAGAGAAAACTGCTTGTAAAATATTCATATTACCCAAAACTGCATATAAAAAAAATCACACTAAAATGGAGAAAAGCAAATTAAAATCTTGACGAATTTTCATGAGGATTAAAAAAAAAAGAAATTGCACATTGCTGTGGAAACATTGAAAACTGAATTTAAGACTGGAAAAACGAGGAACTGACAG